AGAGAGATATTTTGATGGGTCATAACACTGTTTCTATAAATGTCAAATCTGCTGGTGGAAGTATAATTAAATGGACCATCTGGTGGTAATGGTGTCGTTCTGGTTAAGTAACCGAAGAAATTGTGCCAAGATAACGTTTGTCTACTTCCCAAAATAAAAACTCTGTATCTCTTGGAGTGGTTAATTTCAATCTTTTGAAATGAAACGGTGGAGTTCATCTTGTGCATATTCTAGTTTCAGATAGTATGTTCCATTTGTAAGAGTGTATTTTTTTTGAAATTCCCAATAATATTTTGTTCATTTGAGTTTTAAAGTCATTTAGAGTTTTCTCAAGACTTTTCGTTCTGAACGAACTGTAAAGATCCTCATTTCGTCAATTTTTCTATTACCATCAGAACCTTCATACTGCCCATGAAAATATACGCGAACATAAATGCGTTAGTTCTATTTGAAAACAAAAACTCTTACTAAAATCCTATTGCCTTGCATCTGAAGGACTTTGAAGCCACGAATTGGATAGTCAAACTGTATGCTCGGTGAAATTTCTTCATCTGATATTGTCCACCAGCATTTGTAGAATAGATTATCTAAGGTTTTGTATCTGCTACTTTTGTTCTTTGTTTTTCAACCTGAAGCATTTAATATATGTAAAATATATTGTTTTAAAATGGTAGACATTTCATATTTCTCATCTAACAACAAGTTTCCTTCAACTTGAGGTCAACTAACAAACTCAGCGTACATTTCAAATAAAATTTAAAAAATGTCACTTTTTAAAATAATAAATTTTACTTCATGCAAGTGTTTATTTCTGTGCCGTCTTCAAGTATGCCCCAATACTTACGCTTGGAGAGGACATGAACTTCGGAAATACCTTATCTAGCTTAAAACAGCCCATCTTTTCACGACCATTCCCATTTCAATGAGTTGTGTGATACTTCTTCGTTCGTTCATGAGTTCGTCAATGTTCTCATAGTAAACCTTCACCTTGGATTTGACTTCGGAGAAGAATTTGTTGTTAGTTGTCAAGGACTGCCTTTGCGGAACTGAGGGTAAGACAATGTTCGACAATAGGTTTAATGTGGTTACTAAGCCACTTGACCTTGAGTGAATTCGTACTTCAAAACAAAAGGAGAAAACCTTTCAACAAAGTTGTCGACCTTCTCATAATGTTTACTCTCTCATCTCTTGTTTTTTAATGGAATATCCCCATGTCGAATTCATAAGCAATTTGAGTGTCATTGCAAGTTTGGGTTTGAAGCTTTCCTAATATCATACAGTTGTTGTATGACTTTTCCAACTGTATAGTTCCTTCCCGGGAACTCACCATCTTCGTTTGGAATTCCAGTCGAATATATTGGACAAACCTCATGTATGCAGCGTTAAGGTCGACATAGTATATCTTTTCATCTGAGTCGAACTTGTCGCAACCAATTGGTCCAGTTTGTGGAAATTCAAAGTGAGTCTCTTATCTTCTGAGAAACTTCTCCTGTTAATCAAATCATAAGCATCGTCGAAGCAACTGTTTCATATAAAACCTTCTGACCTAACTCAGATGCTCTCCAATACAATTTGACGTCAATTGGATGTCTCAATGGAGTTTGTTTATACATCTTGAAGTTCTTGCAACCTCATGTGGAAGTTCTTCTGGTTCAGGTTGGTATCCGAACAATCCAACTCCTTGTGATATTGTGTACTTCTTTTGTACTAGACTTTGTCTGGAACAACTTTTGGTCTTGCTAACAGTGAAAAGTTTGTTTCGTCTTTTGTACAAAAGTTTCTGTCAGCTTGTCATCTGGAATTGGTTCCAACAAACTTCTCGAAAAGATGTTTACAGCTCTGACAATGTTGCACTTGCCTTTTCCGACAATGGGTTTGTAAGACTTTCGTTCAACATGAAGTGGTTGTGACAATTACAATCTTCAACCATGGTAAATTGAACTCAACAACATAGTCGTCATGTGAAGGAACCTTTAGCTGTAGGTATGTTGACTCGGATATTGACATTGCAACGGTGCAATTTTTGCCAATTGACCTCTGAGAATGTACCTTGTCTTCACACATGACTCAAGATACTTCATCTTCTCTCTGTAACAAGACAGAGTTCCTGAGACATGTAAGAATACTAAGGTTCATTTGACAATTGTTTATCAATTGAATTGTAAAATTCCATAATCCTTGTCAAGTCAATGTCAGACTTATTTATGAACGGGAAGTATCCAGCATGTTGTCTGACTGCTTGAGGGTAGGTTGGTACCGTTATTCGAACTTGACACTTGCAATTCCTTCAATGCATTCAAAATGTCTGAGTCGAGTCACCATTTGTGTCTCTTCTTGTAGTCTTGAAAGCGTCAAGAAGTTTGCGGCTGTTTGTTCATTGCCATTTGCATAGTAAATTTGACCTCATCAAATCTGTTATGGTCAATCTGAGATTGTGTCCTTTCATATTTCCGTCTTGAATTGCAGCAAGTACTCCCATGAAGCCTTCTTTGTTCTTTCCTTCGTCAAAGTTTACTGTAAAGGTTCGACCAGATGTAATTTGACTTCTAACTTCACGATACTTTTCATATGCATATCTTGTTCTTTCATGGGAGCATGTGTGTCTTCACCTTTTCCTTTTTTTCTTCTAAAGGATGCAATTGTTCGTCATGTTCCAGTAGAATCTGGCACCGTCGTGTCCTTCAACTTGAGGTTCACTAACATCGAAAGGCATGTTCATAAGACGTTTCTTCTTCTAACCTCTCTAGTCTGTTTGGATAATTGGCATGTGCTGTTTCCAAATCCATTTCGTAGCGAAGACCAGACAATTTGTCATAGACTTTTATGGGTCTTCCCTTCCTATATTTAAAATTCTTCGAAACTCTCCAACCATATCTTTGTAACTCTGCTTTTATTCTAGCAGACTTTCTATCCATTCTATATGGGGGATTTTTATAAAAATAAAAAAATGTTTTTTTCTTTACTTTACATAACGCCTGCTGCCATAAGTCTTTGACGCCAACCCATACCAGCTAATGAAGGTTGACTTGGTTTAGTTTCCAAACTAAACTTTGGTTTTGGTTTATCTTCAGTTTTTGGTTTTTCTTCTTCTATCGGTTTTTCGTCACTTTTCGGTTCCTCTGACTTTACCTCACCTGCAGGAACAGTTGTGTCGTTAACATCTTCATAAATATCATATGCCATTTGTTTTTGTTTTCTTTCAACTTTTTGTGTTTGTTGTAAAGTTTAGAATATTTCGACTCTAAGTCAATTGAGATGTTCTATAATGAACTGTTGGTCAGTGAAGTAAACTTTTCCATCTGTTGTCTCGAAAGCTCCTTCAGACTTCAATATTTTATTTGTGAGAGTCTGTTTCTTTTTTGAGATCTAGCCGTTCCATTTCTATGAAAAGTGACTTTATAGTTAGGGTTTGCATTTCCAGACCTGGCACTTTCTATTATGAATTTTTCTCTTCATTCTGTAAGTTCTTTGACAGGTTTTGACAATGGTTCTGAACTTTTTTTTTGTGGTGTCAAATCTACCGTTTCAACTTCTTCGGTCATTTCATCTCAGTAAAAAATTTTAGTTTGGTTTGTTTTCAACTGGTTGTTTAGGTTTTTTAAGTCGGTCTAAAACTTCCTGAGGTATAGGAAGAACTTGACAAACACGTGTGTGTAACTGCTGGAAGTCGACAAATCCATCTTGAACCATTTGTCTCAATGCTGTATTGTTCATTTCATCTCAGTAAAAAATTTTACATTCCCCACGTTTGAGGCGGTTGAGGTTGGTTATTGTTTACCCACTGTTGTGCATGGTTATATCCTCTGTTAAAGAATCTTTCACCTTGGTCCATATAGTGTCCGCTTGGTTATAGTAGTCATTTGCTTTGTTATAATAGTTTCCTGCTTGTCTTCCTACATTGTCCATCCATCCTTGAACTTTTCCTCTTGTTTCAGGATTTGGAATAAAGATTTGCTGCATCTCGTGCTACATCCCAACCTTTCTGTACAGTTTGTATAATAGGTTGTGCTTTCTCTTTCAGTATACCTAATGTACTCAAAATCTTCCTTCCAATTCAAATGCACCTTGGCTATTGTTCCAACTGCGGGTAAAAATCTGGATGCAACTCCTGCTAATGCGGCCAAATAAACCCATTTCTTATGGGTTAAAAAATGACGAATCCAAACAAGGACCCCTATGTTTCTAAGGCAACAAAGAAAGCACTCATGATAAAAATCTTTAGTTCAACACCAAATGCTTGGTTTATGGATATCTTGGAAACATTCGAATGAATTGAGATGAGAACAGATGGACCTCCATACTGGTTATTTGTTGGTCAAACACAAGATACTGTGAAGCCATACATTATGGTCCAAAAATATTTTAGATGTGAAAACTGCTTTGACAATATTCGTTGACAAATACCATCCAACAAAACTGACATCTGACTGTGAAAGTTCTTTCAAATCAGATGTGTAAAAAACTATCTGCGTTCAAAAATGTAAACAATATTTCATTGTCGACCAAAACCATTCTGCTCTTGGTGTCATTGACGGTTGTATAAAAATGTTAAGCTTTAAGAGACTTAAACCAACCACAAGGTGGTGAAGCAAATGAAATGTCATATGACGACAAGTATAGACACTTCTCCATGGCAAAGATGAGACAAGTTTTAAATATTTACAATAACCGTAAACAAAAAGGTTTGGGAAACCACTCCCCGAAGAAATGAAAAACAACCCTGACTTAGAGAAAGACTATATATTTAATAATTTAGTCAAAAGAGACAAACAAGAAAGAATGCCGGGCTTCAAACTTCAGAAAGGTGACAAAGTAAAAATAGAAATACCTAAACGCGACCCATATGAAAATACTCTTGACTATGACAACAATGGGAACTCGACAGGTACTCACATTCGTGTTCGTAAAAATAGAAGAAAGTATACAAGAGAATATTATGAAGTTTTAGGCAAACATGGCAAAATGTACACACTGCAAGCAGAAGATAAAACTACTATTGTCAGACCTCGTTTCAAACTTGTCAAAGTTCAAGGTGGTATACTTTCAAAGACAGTTCCTAACAAATATAAGACAACTCCTGACGAATATGCTAAAGAAGTTGAAAATGACGACTAAGCATTTCTATACCATGCGTAAACTGTCATGTAAGGTGGCATGTAGTCTTTACTTTGTCCCGTTGTTTGCGTATATCCTGAAACGCGATGTGTATGGTTTCCATCTCCCTGAGTGTTACCCCAGAAACAATTTATAGCAAACTGAACGTCGTCTTTAACATCATATCCTTTACCTTTTTTCATTGCTGACCAATCCCAAAATTTATGCTTATGCCAACCTGCTTGAGATGTACTTAAATCTATGTAGTGACTGTGTGCAGGTAAATTTTCACCTGAAATCGTTTTACTTCCACCTGTTTCCTTTGAAGAGTTTGCACAATACAAAAACCTGTCGACTATTTGAGTCCAAGTTCCAAAACCCAGAACTGTTTCTGGTCTGGTAGAGTTCATTGACGTATAAATAGAGCCTATAGGATATAATGTTTGAAGCATTTCTGTCTTTAATGTTTGAAGCTCTGTTTTGTCTGCTTTCTTGTCATATAAATCTTGAGCAGTGAATTTAATATTATGTTCATCCTTCATGACATAAACATCTTTACATCTAATGTTTCTCATCGTCGTTATGTCGACATCCGATGTTAAACCTTGTGGAAAGTTAGGAGGTTTACAATATAATATATCCCCAGTTTCTTCAACCGTTCCTTCAATACTTTCTATAGCAACAGTTGTAAAACTTGTATGTGTATGGTTCTTGTCTGCTTTCTTCTCTAACTCATCGTTAACATAAGTTTTATCTGCTTTAAGGTCTAAACATCCTGAAACCCATCCTGTATTAGCTTTAGATTTTAAAATCTTTGATGTCCGTTCATGGTACCAGTCAGCCCTTTCTATAATTTCTTTATCTTTTTCATCCACATATTCCTTATCCGCCTTCTTCACTAACACACTAGCCACATATTCCTCATCCGCTTTCTCTTCAAGGCTAACGCTTAAGTCTGTAATATCAGATATAGAATGTGTATGAGTCTTTTTAGAATATTCGTTTTCAGCTCTTGTCACTTCACTTGACATTTTATTGTCAACATATGTTTTGTCTGCTAGTTCAGGATGAGTATGTTCTTTTGTTGCATAAGCATTGTTAGCTCTTTCTTCTTCTTTTGCTATTGCATCGTCTACATATTCTTTGTCAGCTTTGTTGTCAATATCTGCTTTCAAAAGAAGTTCATTTATAGGTTTCTCGTTTAAAGTTCCTTTTGTTGGATTTATACAGACAGTATTGTTCTTCTTGTCTTGAAACAGAAACTCATCTGTTAAAGGGTTTAATGTCAGTTTTAAGTTTCCTTCTTTCAATGACTCAGATATCTTAGAATAGTTTGAAAAGTTTGTTGTGTTCTTATTTAGAGCTTGCATAATGAGTTGTCGGTTGTGTTGTATTTCTCTCATGGAAGCAATATCTTTCGACATTTTTATTCTAGATAAAATATGCTTTCAATAGAAAAAGAAAATTCAAGAGTTGCTACAACTAAACCATTAGATGAACTTTTTACTAATGTCGGTCAAAAGTTTGAGACAGAGACCGTAAAGCATGAAGGCTATCGTTTTGACTACCCATTAAGATGGCTAAGAGACCCATCTGTCACAAAAGCTATTGGCTTTCGTAGAATGAAGTTTGTGTCTGTAGAAGATAAAAGTTTTCCATTTATTGTAAAGTTTCATATAGATTATATATCTGAAGGGAAACGAAAAATGTGGGAAGAAATTGAGCTAATACAAGTTGACCTTTCATCTTCTCTACAGACTGCGTTAAAAAATATAGAAGATAAAATAAATTCATGTTATGCAAAATATGCTGATGAATATGCAAATACCGAGAGCACACTTTATGTGAGAATTGTATATGACAAACAAAATTCACAAGTGTCATTTCAAATCTACGAAAACAATCCAAATAAAGACGAACAAATATATACAGAATTCACTGCAATGTCATGGTATTATTTGCAAAGAATGTTAAATCAGAAAGTCGAACTTCCTTTAGCAAATATTTACAGTCGATATGCAAGAGATGAACCATATTTATTTAAAGATGTTTTCGACCCAGCTGCTATTATTGTTCATGCTTCATTTTCTGGCGCCCAAAACTCTTTCTTATGCTTGGCAAATGACTTTTACGAAAAACCTACAAAGTTATACGAACCACCAAGTGGAAGTATTTCAGACTTTCAAGTATGGTTTACTACAGATGGAAGAAAAAGAATAATTCCATTATACCATGCGTTTTACTTAGAACTTAGTTTCATATACAACTACTATCGAACGGTAAAAATATAATTTTTTAATACGGTTGAGGTGTTGGATTTGGTTGCCAACTTGACTGTGGTGCAGGTTCAGGCTGTTGTATAACAGGAGCTTGCTCTTCTGGTTCAGGGTCTTTAGGTATAATACCAACAAACTGACCTACTCTTTTACCAATATTTTTGACTCCGTTCCAAATTCCTTTTCCTACGGTTTTTATTCCATTCCATATACCTCTTCCAACATTTCGAAAGAAGTTTCCAATACTACTGAAGAAACCCATTTTACTATATGTAAAAATCTAATGTCCACCTAGTCTCTTACGTTTCCTGTTGAGTTCCATAGCATTCTTTAACTGGAGTTCATACATTCTGTTTCTCCTCTGGTAGAAAACATATTCTGGGTCAACTCCTGTGTTCGCGTCATCTGCATAAAGTTGTTTATATCCCACTTCAGGGTTTGTATAAAACTCTTTCCATCTCATATTTGCATACCATGGTGGCAAACCTAACGCAGCGTCATTTGACATGGCAGTTTGCATTTGTACATCTGTTGGCACTTGACCATAGTTTGCCATTGCAGTTTGTATTCTAACTTCATTTGGAATATTCTCTGGGTTTGGTTGTCCAGGTTGCTGTGCATTCACTAAGTTCTGTGCGTCCATTTAATATTAGATAAAAATATCTCTTACGAGTACATATACTGAACATTTGCAGGCATTGGTTCATCTTCATATTCTCTGTACTTTTCTGCCACGTCAAATAAATAAATGACACAATGGAAAAAACCTAAAACAAGTAGTCCTATTTCAAACCACATTTACTTACTAATAAAATTTCTTTATTGTGACACTTTCTCCGGTTTATAGGACCTCTCTCATATTCTATCTTGTCATATATAAACTCATAGTCATGTATGTCCTCTAACCATCTCATAACGGTTTCCAAACCACTTTTATCGGATGTAAAGTAAAAGCATGGATGGTTATGTATAACGTCTAAAGTTTCTAAAGAGTCTCTCAAAGTCCAGTCTACTTGGTATTGAAAATCCCATGTGTTAAAGAACGGCGGGTCCACTATAAAGAAAACATTTTCCTTGTCTTTATATTTTTCATACAACTCTGTCCAATGACATCTCACAAACTCTATACCCTCAATATATTTATCTATGTCCTCTTTGAAAACATTTGTATAGTTAAGATATAAAACTTTTGACATAAGTGTTTCAATGTCATGAACTCTTATAGAACCACTATATAATAGTCTAGCAGATATACTATCCCAGTCTATATATTCTGCTTTTTTCAAAACCTCTCTCACAATATTTTTCTTATCTAATGGTATACGTTCCATCTTACCTATAGGTATCTTTTCTTTTAACTCTTTCAATATATTGTTAGTGTCTGGTATATGTTTGAGACGGTCCATATAGTTGTCGAAGTCATTGCATATAATCTTTGAGTCTGGGAATATTATATGACATAAATGGGATATATAGAAACTTCCACCGAACAAATCTACAAATGTTAGACCATTCGGTAGTTTCTTAAGTTCTCTCAATATAATATCTTTACATCTACTCTTATTTCCAAAGAACGGTAACGGTGGTTTTGTAAAATTCATTTATATATAATAATAAAAATGTTTTTACCCGAAAAGTGACAGAAAAGTGACAAAACATGTACGATGAAGAAGTCTTGACAAAACATGTACGATGAAGAAGTCTTGACAAAACATGTACGATGAAATCATGAAAATTCAAGAGGTGAGAAAAGAGGTGAAAAAACAGGTGAGATCTCACCTCTTCACCTAAAATATATTTTTTGGTCCTTTACACTCATTACGAAGAAGTTTTGACAAAACATGTACGATGAAGAAGTCTTGACAAAACATGTACGATGAAGAAGTCTTGACAAAACATGTACGATGAAGTCATGAAAATTCAAGAGGTTAGAAAAGAGGTTAGAAAAGAGGTTAGATCTAACCTTCTACCCTAAACATTATTTTTTGGTCCTTTACACTCATTACGAAGAAGTCTTGACAAAACATGAAAACATATATAATTTGTGAAAAGTGTTGTCAGTTTTGTAAAATAACCGTCCTATCTCATTCTATAAGGGGGAAAAGGCTGGTCGGCTGGGGCTCCGGTCCTCCTCTTGGGTCTTGTGCAAAATTTCTTATGGGCTAGAAGGCACGAAGTGCCTGGAGGCCCATTCCAAGAAAAAAAAAAAACATTTATACTAATCATCTTCAGGGCTAGAAGGCACGAAGTGCCTGGAAGCCCCACTACCTTTTTTTTTTTTTTTTTTTTTTTTTTAAAACTCATGGAATTCTTGCAGAACACTACAAATTTGATGATCGCAATACGAGAATCAAACCTTTTGAAATCAAAACCATGGTCATTCAGAGAAGCTCGAAGATTCTTTAGAAGAATTCTCTATTTCAATAACAATATAACAATACGGCCGTATCATCATGCATGTTTCATGATTCTCAGTGTCCATGACAACGTAAACAATGAAATTATTAATGAAGTTTCGAAAGTTGTTGCAGAATCTTTTGAGCTTAATGATAGACAACGAGTTTCATTGTTGAATGATATCAAAGAAGATGTTAATGTCACCAAAAATGAAAATTCTCTTATTCTTGATAAAGGAAGCATCAAATTAACTACTAATGTTGTTAATATTGACCATCATTTGAAACAGGTTTGGAATACGTATTTCAATATTCTTATGACACACCCACAAGAACCAATCTTGATTGTTGGACCATCAGGTTATAAAGAGTATATTGCCAAACTCGTAACAGGAAACAATTACAAATCAGTCAATTTGAGTAAAGATTCAACAACATCATCTCTAATAGGAAGTATCAATTTGACTGATAGAAAGTCAGTTATTACAATGCTCTTTGATATTCTTTCTAGGATAGACGCCAATAATACTAAGTTTACTGAATGCAATGAAATCAAGAATAGTTATTTCGAAGGTAGATTTAATGAATCAATATTTTATAATTTTATTGAATCTATTCGTGAAAATAAAAATGAATCAATGATATTTGTTATCATTCAGATCACATCAAATATCATAAATCTTATCAATCAAAACGATGAATTTTCAACAATGTTGTCAAATTACATCACAATTTTCAAGCCAGGACTAATAACTTCTGCTATATTGCAACAAAAAGCTTTAATTCTCAAAAATTTCTCACATCCACCAATCTCAGTTATCGAAAGATTGAATGAACTATTTTCAATTACTCCTGAACTTACTTTGAGTGAAGATTTTACAAATACAATTGTTCCCGATCATTCTCAAAAAATCAGCGTTGATAAATTCAGAGTTTTTGCAACAGTAACAAATGGTGAAAAATCAAAATTATCTGAGGCGATGCTTTCAAGAATGACAATTATTAGATCATACACATACAATAAAGAAGATTATCAATATATCTTTAATAAGATGTTTTGGAAGAATCTACAAGAAGAAGAATGGGATAATTTGACATTGAACCAAAAATTTTTGATCAATAACATTGCAAAAAGAATCTCAGAAAAAATACATGATGAAGATTCTGTAAAATGTTTCGGACTTGCATTAAATATGTTAAATATGATTCCAGATAATGAATTATATAAACCTCTTGAAATCGATAATGGAAATGTAGTTTCAAAGAAAATTTTTGCAATTCCTTATAATTACATTGAACCAAAAACGAAACCTGTTGCCACAAAATCAATTAACGCATTGACAAACCTTTTGTTTTCTGCTGCAAAGATGAAATATAGTTCAATCATTCAAGGTCCATGTGGAACAGGAAAGTCAACAGTCATCAAATACTTGGCAGAATTATTTGATGCAGAACTCACAACGGTTAGAATTTCATCTTCGACAACAATCGAACATATTTATGGACAGAATGAACTCATTCAAAATGAAAATGGAGCATCATTCCATTTCAAGAAGACTGCTCTTTTAGAAAAAATTACAGGAAATGGTTCAAATGGTCGTCCTGTCTGGGTTATCTTTGAAGAAATTGATCAAGCCTCAGATAGTCTCCTTGATTCTCTTGTTCAATTATTTGATTCCGAATTGAACCAAATATTGTTACCAAATGGAACAACAGAGGTTAAGAATGATTATATCATTTTTGGTTTGTCATCGAGGCAATTCTACAATGAAAATATTCTTAATAATGCAGTTTGTTTTGAACAAGAAGATTATTCCGAAGATGAATTTACCAAAATTTGTGAAGAGTTATATATCAAAGATTCAAACTTTTCAAATGACGAATTTATTAAGAATTTCCCTCATAAATTATATCAATGGAAAGCAATTGCAAAGGAGAAACAAATTTCATTTCCAATTACAATTCGTACATTCAAGAACTTTATCGATCTTGTTAAGCAAAATCCAGATACAGTCGCAGAAATTGAAAACCAAATTTACAAATCAATTTTTAGTGAGAACCTTCTCAAAAGAGACAATAATGAAGAAGAAGAAGAAACAAAAGTAAGTGTTGAAGATGGATATACTACAATAAATGGAATAAGATATTCTTACTATATTCAAGATGAGAGTAAACAAGCTCTAATCCAGAATTTGACAACACCTCAAAAATCACTTTTTGTAATTCTTTCTTCTATTTCAAAAACATTTCGGTTATCATTATCCAAGGACCAACCGCTTCAGGAAAGACTCATGCAATGAATCTTTTTGCAGAATCTATGGGACAAAACTTAGTTGTTCTCCAACTTAATACAGAGACAAGTGACAGCATTGTTTATGGAGGTTACAAACCACTTTCAGAATTAAGAATTGAACAAAGAACAGAAATTTCCTCTATGCTTGAAGAACTTGGAAAAACTAATAGCTTTATTAAAAAGATTCAAATTAAAGATTGGAAACCAAACACTCTTAAAAACATTGTTAATGAGCTCAATGAAAATAAAATACTTATAAGAAATCAAAATCAACTTACTCTTCTTGATAACTTGATTAACAAAATCTCAAATGCATGCCAATTTTACAATCTCATTGATAAATATGATTCCGTAATTGTTAAAGCAATGAAAGAAGGAAAATGGCTTCTTCTTGATGGTATTGAAGCTTGTCCAAGTGTTATTCTTGATCGAATAATTTCATTGTTTAGCTCTACACCGAAATTGGATTTATACGAAAAAGGAACAGATAATGAAATTATTGCAAAACAAAACTTCAGAGTTTTCATGACTTACAATCCTTATGAAGCAACAACGAGACAAAGAATATCTCCAAGTTTGTTGAATAGATGTTTTGTTTATACACTTGATCCTATTGATCAAGATTTCAATGACTCTTTCAATACAATATTTGGAATCCTTTCTCAAGTGAAAAATCTTGGATTCACAAGTACTAGCGATTTTCAAAAAATCGTTGTAAGATTCGTGAATGTTCATCTTAAAATGAAATCTGAAAATAATTCAAACATTGATGCAAGAACATTAGTTCGACTAGCTCAATCATTAGCTATTTCTGCTCCTTTAAACAGAACAAAAGTTGAATCAATTCTGTATTCAAACTATTCAGACACTCTAGAAATGGATGACCAACAAAAAACAAAAATTTGGAATTATTTTAGTGAAAAAATTGATGAAAACAAACTCAAAAGAATTAAGAACTCTGTTGTATCACATAGTACTGAATTGGATAGTTTAAGAAATTCTTTAGCTGAATTAAAGCGAAGTAATAAGTTTTCCATCAAAATCTTTATTCAAACATTCCTAAGACTTCCATTTGAAAATTATGAAAGTTTTCAAAACGCTCTCACATTCGATAATCAATACTGTGATGTGTTCAAACTTATTTCTGATTTCATCAAAGAATCAGAGAAACTAATTCAAAATGACAGAAAATTTGATGGCAAATCATTAGGTAAAATACAAAAAGGTGAATTTCCAATATTCGATGACTTCCTTCTTCGAATCAATTTCTATCTTTTTATTACAGACAAATATCAAGTAGACGCTATTGAGTATACAGCAAATGATTTAATGTTATTGCATCAAATAGATAAAGCAAAAAGTCTCAATGATGCATTGTTTTATTTGCTATCATTGAGAAAATTCATTCCAAATATTTTATTGCATCCAATCTCATGAATATCAGAAATCATGGACATAAGCTTATTTTAACAGAACAAATACCAGAAGAAAAAGAAACAAAGTCTATATACTTTTATTATAAAAACAAGATATTTGATTCCATTTATTATGATGATAAAGTCATTTCCATCACAAAAATCGAACAAAATTTGGACATATTTTTCATTGATATTTTAGGAACAATTGAAAAAGACATCAGAACATACTCTTCAAGAAATGTTTCATCTGATTTTAGAATGAACATTTCATTGGATCCATTCTTAATTTTATATGTTCCAATATTCTATTCACCAAAAGAATTTACTGATGTTTTTAAGGATTATGCAAAAGAATCATTCCAAGTTTCATATGAAGTTTTGACATCATTGAAAGATATTGATCTTTATCAACAATGGTCATTAATCATTGATGAAATATCAAAAATCATGAAACAATCAGAAACATTATCATTTGGTGCTGTAAGTTGGAAGCAACATTTACTAAACAATAGTGATTTGCTCCAAGCATTGCTATCATTTGATTTCAGCAAACTCAAATCGTGTGGTAGTTCCACGAATATCATCGAAGCTATGAAAAGCAATGATGTCCAAAGGTCAAGAAATAAAAAGATGGAAACATCATCAAGAGATTGTTTGTTGGAAATACAAAGATATATTTCAACAAAAGAACCAAATTATGAAGTCTTGCAGTGGGCCAAAGATAACAATGCATTTAATATCAAGACAAAACCAAATGATTTGCTTAAAATGATTGAAAGAGCAAAAATTCCTATTCATCAACCAATGCATATAGATTTTGAAAAACTTGGAGAACTATATTTATCTCCTGATCCAACAGAAAACAAAGAAGATATGACTTGGTTCTTCCATTACTGCCTTTATTCATATAAATCATATCTTTTAGATATGATTGAAGAAGGTTCTCTCCAAAGTGCAATGTCATTCTCAGAATTTCATCCTGAATTCAAGAAGTACTTATATGATATATTTAGTAATGGAAATACAAATATATTACAAGAATATCGAGATCAAATCGTCGAAGATTTGTTTGTAAATCTTTCATCACAGAAGGAATATTTTCTTAAAACAACTGCAATAAGAGCTATTAATCAGCTTTCGAATCCTTCAGATTTTGTTTCACCATATTGGGCAGATGTCATTCATAAGATCAATCATGTAATTCCTCTTGAAATTCCGTTAATTTTCCCTGACATGTCATCATCATCGATTATTTCATGTTTCATCAAAGCGTCCATTCATTTTAAAGGTTTTGAATATCTTGAAAATTCAGAAAAATTCATGAACTACCGAAAATATGCTATTAAAGATCCACCAAATTCTTTAGAAGATTTAGTTGAAATCATTAAGCAAAAAGATCCATCTTTAATAGAATTTATTGAGCTTTGCAAATCAATTTATGAACAAAAGGAAGTCGGTTTTAATTTCAATGATGCAATGTTATACAATCAAGACATTTTAGAATTTGCTCCATTCTCATCTATTTTCTTTAATAAGAATCCTCAGTTGAGACAAATTATGGATATGTGTATTCCAAAAGATAATGATGGTACATTTCATTTTAATGTTGGTCTCGCAATTATCAGACTCTTCACGAATTGTAATCTTATATCAGTGAATAGCAAAATTAATCCGAGTATTCACAAAATGCTTAAAGAAATTGTAGGTGGCTGGTATAAAATTCCTTCACAATTCATCGTTGATTACATTATGATTGTAGGCAATTATAATGCAAGTATTGATCAACAATACGACTACAATTTAACGTCTTATTTAGAAGAAGGTAATGATATTGATAAGATTGCAAATTTCATCATTGAATCGAATTACGCACATTATTTCATTAGTAATCTAAAGCAAACATATCCAATTGCCATTCGTAAATTCGTTAAGAGAAATGATTTAATTCCCTATCTTGATCAGTATTTAGAGGAAGATGGAGAAAACAAAGATATTGAAGTTTATCTAAGTGATAATTTCAAAATCTTATTGAAAACTACTTTAGGATACACACGAACATTGTATGATTTCATTCAGCAATTCACAGATAAAGAAGATGCTAAAAATAACCAAGCAATTGCCATTTTCGGTTGTTTGACATCAATCAGTGGATATATTGCAGATCAAAATATTGAGAATGACTATTTTATCGATTATTGCAGATACATTTTCAATAACTTTGATATTGAACAATTCAAATCTATCATCGATAAGCCGAAGAATGAAAATCAATTCAATGACCCGTTTTCCAAGGCAATATTTTCATTCATTTGGAATCCCATTGGATCATTCACAGATTTCTATAAAAAGAAATTAACAGAGAGTAAACTTTTGGCAAATGCAGAAATTTCCCAAAATAATTCACAAATACAAGAAATTAGAACTTCTAATTTCATTGATTCAATGCAGGAAGCAATTATGAAAGATAGAAAATATTTTGCAGATCAAAATAATAAAGAACATGTTAAAGAAGAAATTAATGATAAATAGATAAAATATTCAAAATATGCCAAGGTATTTATTGATTACATTCCTTATATTGATGATCAAGATACTAAGATACGCACACTTAAAGAAAAACGTCTTATTCAAGTCATGACAATGATTAATGAACCAATTAAATATCAAAACTCAATGAAAATTCCACTTCTTGTCATAACAAAGAAAAATCCACAACAAAATTACATTGAATTTGATGATTTAACCTCTGAAAATGAAAACAATACAATTACAAAAGATTTATTTGTGCCATCTTGTATTCTAAAACTTAATCCAGGTAAAAGAATTGAAGATTATGCATTTAAGAACTGTACTGTTGAGGAATTCGATTTTTACATTGAAAGAAATGTAACAGCCAAAGGCTCATTAATGCGTAATGAACTTTTCAACTACTATAATTCAGTCCAAAATGAAATCAATGATAACTCTCAAAATATAATCATTGATTTCGAAGATCTTGAAGTTAAATTTGGTGAAAAATCAATTGAAGATTTTTATAACGTTCTTAAAACATTTTCTCAAATAGAAATCATTGAACTTGATAAACAATTCCAGTCATATGGAAAACCATCTCTTTCTTATGATCCAAATTATCAAATGAAGAATTCAAATGAGCAATTTGATCTGATTAGAAGAAAAATCCAAGAATGTTTTAGTTTAATAAGGTGTAAGGATCAATTACAAGAAAAGATAAATGGTTTAGAAACGAATCTCCAGAAAATCAAAGAATATCCCATTACTTTTGATATTATTAAGGCGAAATCTCTCTCAAAAACAATCGATTTTGAAAATCTTAAAGAAGAAGTTCTATTTTCTCCAAATATTACTGTTAAAGGAAACCAAATTATATCCTCATTCAAGAGCATTGATATTGGTTAATCAATGTTCCTATTTATGCAACAACTCCTTTCAAGGTAAATATTCCGATTGTTGGAAAACTCTTTGACAATGATATTTCCATTAATGGAACAGATGAAATCAAGTTTGAAAAGCACAAAAATTCTCTTAAGATTGCTGCATTTCCTATTGTTAACCAAGTTCTTAAAGCAAATCTAAAAATCAAAAACATTTACATTCCAATTTCCATCAAATATAACTTCATTACACCAAAGATTTATATCAAGTCTCCAGGAAATGAATTTTATGATAATGGCAGAAAATCACTATTCAAATTATCTACATTTGTCAACGAAGAAATTCCAATCATCGTCGAAGATGAAGTTGGAATAAGAATCGCTCACACTTTAACATTCAAACGAGGCCAATATTCAAAGCAGAAATTCGAACCTATTTGCAGATATGACGAAAAGAAGATTGAGTCATATATATCTTTCTCAGAAAAAGATTATGTTGATATGTTAATTTCTGTTAATATCTCTAAAATGGAACCAATAATAATTCCGTTCAAATCAAATATTGTCAAGAGACCAATCGTTTTGAAGACATGGAATATCAGTAGTAATCAATTTGAAGAAAATTGTGATATTTGGGCTGGTGATTTATTATGTTATTATGCGTTTCAATTTGAAACATACACATTGGATGAAAAAGAACATATTCAGATTAAAGTTACTCCAAGTTCAAAGAACATTCTGTTCAAAATGGATGGAGAAGCTAAAGATGGATCATTTATACAATTTTCAATGTCCAAAAGAACAGCATTCATACAAAATAATGAGTATTATTGATCGTATTATTGAATTTATTCGATTACCACCGAAGATTGTATTTGAATATCAGCAGCTCAAACAGCATTCGAGAAAATCACAATTAATTGATTTTATTATCAAGCAATTCCAAGATAGAATTGATACATTAAACAAACAAAAAGGTCACCTTAAAGTTGATCTCGATATCAACCAAATCTTTGTTCAACGAAATACTCTCCAAAAGTCAATTGGAAAGATCGAATTCTCACCTGATCTCAGTATGATAGATTTCGAATGCAAGAGAATCATTAGAGATCAGATCCTTTTGATGAAAAATCGATGGCAAAATGTTCTTTTCAAACAACTTGTTGAAGAATTTCATATTGAGGAAAGAAATCCATTACAAGATCTTACTGATAAAATCAAAAAAGTTTGTGATATTGTTCCTGTCAGTTCTTTAATTAGATGCTATTTTGATATGACAAGAGACCAGAAAACTTCATTTATGGAAATAAGTGATGATCAAATTTCACTTATAACAGAAATTCCACAGAGTAATAACAATTTGAAGATCATTAATAAATCAGAATTTGATGCAAGAGAAAGGAAAGAGAAATTGAAACTCTCACAAATTTCTTCTGGAAAATCAATTAAAGAGTATATCAAATATTACGATATTTATTTGAAATTCTGTAATAACTTTCCAAACACTCTTCGAAGAATCAAAGAACGTATGAAGAGAAGAGATATTGTCAAAGCTAATGAGGATTACACTAAATTATACCTCTTAGATGATTGGGCTCAAAAAATTATTAATGATAAGAACAATCCTCTTGTTTTGATTGCTCAAAATTATCATGACTACTTCTCAATAATTGATAACATTATTTCAAATAATGGTGGTGCAAACGTTTGTTTTATTGTTCCAAAGTCTGTTCCTCCCAAAGTTGCTACTGAATGGAAAGAAAACAAACCAGATAATAATAATAAAAAAGAGGAAACTGAAGCTGAAATGAAAATTGAGCGTCCTACCACTGAAAAAGCAAGAATAACAAAAAGTCAAGTAAAAACAGGAACAATAGGTCAAGGAAAAGGAATATCTAGAATTTCTGTGGATAGTTCACCTGATGTTGTTCAAAGAGCAATTTTGGAATCGATGAAGATGGCATCAAATGATGTAATCCTTAGGTTCTCAAATACAAAACTTTATGAAGATTCAACAAAAGAGATTCTTGATCAAAATAAGGATGTATCAAATATTGATTGTATTATTAAAAGTTAGTAAACATATCTTGGGTACGGAGGCACTGCGCGCCTCCTTACCCATTATATGTGAATTTGACACTTTACAAAACCATTAACGTATATTTTACAAATCAAACGCAAAAACCAACTTAACCTTAAATATTTACAAAACCGCCAACCATTTCACCTCACTAACGAACTCATTAATGAAAAAATAAACGTTCTCATAAATTTTCTTCTATATCTTCATCGTCAATGTTAACTCTATTGTAGTCATACTTGAAGTCATAAAGTTTCTCAAGTTTTGAAATGCATAGTCTTGTTAACTTACCTTCATCATCATAAGTTTTTATAAAACTACCATGACAATCTTTATACACAGTCAATGTATAATCTACTGGTCTAAGATGAAGTGTAAAGAACATGTTATACTCAGGAAGGAAGAATAAATGTTTAAATGTATGTTTGTTATATTTTTCGATTTGTATGAGTTGCTTTTGTTCTGTCATTTACATCCAAATAAAAATTTTCAGTAAAATAAAAAATAAACTTAAAAATTAATGATATCACCACTCCCACACGTATGAAAACATAGCACAAAAATAAATTTAGGTGAAGTGGTGAGATCTCACCTCTTTTTTCACCTCTTTTTTCACCCTGTTGAATTCATTGTTTTATAACTCTCTTCCTTTCTCCAACTCTTCTAACTTCTTCTTAAGTTCAGCAATGTTGTCCTCATGAAGTTTAATCTTTCTCAAAATTCCTTCTTTATCTAATGGTTGCTTTCTCTTTCTAAACTGAACTCTACCATCCTTCATAGTATGAACGTAAAAACCTTCTGGAATCGCTCCTGATTTAATGTATTCTACCAAAAACTTTTGTTTCATTGCTTCAGTGACTTTATTTGTCATTTCAATCAAATAAAAATTTTAATATTAAATAAAAATAACGTTATTTTTTTCAGTAAGGAAACGCAGGAGTTTTACGATTTATTTGAGGAGTAGGTTCCGGTTTAAATGTTGGAGTCGGTTTAGGAGTTGACTTTTGAACAGGAGTTTGTACTTCCATAGGTTCAGGAGTCATTGAAGGTTTTGCTTGTGAAGGCGTTGGTTTTGGCGAAGGTGTTGGAGTTTGTTTAACTTCAGCTACTTCAGTATTATTTACAACATTTGCTTTATTTCTTTTCAACATCATAAGCTCCTGCTGTAGCTAGCAAACCTAGTGGGAGACCATATCTTATATAAGGACGTGACCAAATGCTATTTTTGACAGGAGCTGGTGGAACACCTAACCTTGGTGAGACTGCTCTTTGCCATTGTGCAGCTCGTAAGAAATATTCAATAGGTGCTCCATAATCGTTTGGTAAAGTTTGTTTCATAGATGGTGAAGGTTCACGAGAGCTTGATGAAGAACTCATTTATAAGCTTTAAAAATAAACGTTCATCCTTTATTCCTCACTGTCGTCCGTGGCTAAGTTATAGTCATCTAATCTTATTATGGGGATGCCTGACTGTCTTACCTGAATGGCAAAGCAACAATCCCTCATAAATCCAATAAGTGGCTTTGGTACGTTTTCAGTTGCTAGTTCAATAGATCCTTTAACAGACAATTTGTATGTTATTGGAGCAGTAGATGTTTGACCTTGCTGGAAGCAAAAGTCCACTTCTGTTGGAAAACCACATAAGAAATGTGTGTTGTCATAGCTATCCCATTTATGTTCCACACTACCATCATCCACCAATGACCTCATAACATGTTCATTAAATCCTATCATATCATTGTTTGTATTGCAGGCGTTCGCAACCATTTCATAAAATACAGGTCCATATGATTTTTCGGGTTCTGCAGGCATATTTCCATAAGCTCCCATGGAAAGCTGAAGATATTTAAACTTAGGGTTCTCAAAATTAACATAATAGTTGTCTTTCTTTCTAAATAGTGCCCAAATACTTTTAACATTAATAGGCGTATAAGCTGCTGTAAATGTTGCACTGAACTATCTGTATTCTTTGAGAATGAACCGTCCATAGGAATCCAATCCATAACTTTAACAGAAAACATAAAGCCTCGTTTGTATAATGTTCTACAAGTTCTGTATAAATGTTAGGGTCTAAAGAGAATGACTTGGATGAATGAAACATTCATTAAAATCCATCTTTGTTCGAAATAGTTGCTGGGTTACAGTTGTAATAGTAACTGTTCCACTAGCTTCTACTGCCTTCGTTATCATAGTGAATGGTTCATTCCATGGAACAAATTTATTTGTCGGTGGATTTGAATCTGAAGCAAATGCAACTTTAAGAGTTGGATTGAAAGCAATGATATCATTTACAGATATAGATGTGCATTGTAAGGCGTCGCTACTGAACTTTACTTTAAGCTGAATGTTTCCTGCAAAAGCTGGAATAAATCGAATAGCTTCTAATGGAAGGAATCTTCTAACGGGAATTCTTAAACGAAGCTTAAAATCAAATGATTTTCCTGCTGTAATTGGACCACTAACAATTTGTCCTGTTCTGCATGTTCCCGAATGACTCCATACATCTTCATGTCGAGTCTTTGAGAAAACATCTACTTTCTTTATTTGTTCGGTAGTTTGTGAGTTTGAAGTTATATATGCTTCTTCTCTTGCGTTGTCTTGAGAATATACGATACGACCATTTGCAAGGATTTGATATCCAGCAACTGCATAGAAAGCGTCATCGAAACCAATCCAAAATCCTGGTGGGTTTGTTTTATTGGAACCTGAACCAATTTCTTTATCTACAATAAATTGACCTTCCATTTATACGTAATGAATGTATTGTAAAGGTCCAACATATTTTCACCAGGAGGTGAGAGATTGAATGTTACCCATGTGTTATCTTTAGCAGTTCCAGGTTGTGATGGAATCTTTGCGTCAGAATATTTTCTATTAGTGTCACCAATTTGAACTGCATTGTCTATGATATCGAAATATGAGCGAATCTGATGAATATGCTCTGCTGGAGTAAATTCGTTTAGCTGTTCGTTCTGCATGTATTTACTTCAGATAAAAATATCTATTTACTTCATTATTCTCACTCTTCTTCTTGGCATTCGTGGTGGAAGTTGTTTCTTGACATTTTCAATGAACTGTACATTCTCTTTTGTCTCAACTTCTTTCACTGGCGGGTCAGGATTCTTTGACTCGGTTTGTTTTTCAATGAAATTCACGAACTTTGCAATAAGCTCTTGGTTCGTTATTGAAAGTACATCTGGCTTCTTTTCTTCTGGTTCTATTGACTTTTCAGTTTGAACAGAAGGTTTTATATGGGCTTCGTGGACTTCACCCTTACCATACACCTTAATGTTGTCGCTTTCTGCATTCGCTAATGGAACCTTTCTTTTTCTTACGTATATTTTACCATCTTTACTCTGACTTACGTAATAGAAAGGATGTTGTATTCCTCTTGCGTCATTTAATATAATAGACTCTCGCTCTGATTTTGACAAGCTCATTTTACATCGGTTAAAGTTTTAATTTTGTTTTTTTATCTGCAGTCAAATGACTCAGACAAGTCCTACGGACAAGACCCAAGGGGTCATAGATGTTGAAGCATTGAAGAAAGAAATTCGTGAGCAAATTTTATCCGAACTGAAGGAACAAAAACAAGAACAAAAGCCAGAGAGACCAAAGAGAAAACTTAGTGAAAAACAACTTGCTGCATTAGCTGCTGGAAGACAAAAGAACCCAAGACTACTGGCGAAAAAAGCTAGAGAAGAAGCTGAAGCAAAAGCTAAAGAAGCTGAAGCAAAGAAAGAGTAAATGGTTTATTTTTATCCGAACTAAATGTATAGACAAATACCTTTATCTGTTGCGTTCAGTAGTGAAAACCCTGACGTCAAAATAAAGGGGAACAGAGTAACGTTTAAGTTTCCAACAGACTGGATTGTGAACATAAATGAAGAGAAGTACATTGGCATAACATCTATGTATATAACACGTGCTTTCAGAAAGGTTGACTTTATACTTCAAGTCGAGATAGAAAATGACGAACAGTCTTTAAGCGCCCAAAACATTCACATATACAAATACTTTAAAGACGATACAACATTGTAACAATGTATGATTTCATTTAATGAGATGTTCGAGAAAAAGTTCAACATTGAAGTACAAACTTTACAGCCTTTACGTGAGTTTCTTGCACAACTGAAAGAAGAAGGTAGTCAGCCACAACTTATAGACTTTCATTATGAATTTAATGAAAATGAAGATGGAACTCATGACTGTCAATTCATTGTATTCTCACCATTCAATGAAGTCGCTAAAAAGAAAGAAAATCCATTACGTATAAGATTTCAAATCTCTGAACCAAGTGATGATTTCAAGAATGTTTTCAATTATGATGCAATGCTTCCGAGGAAAAATGAATTTTCAAAGATTGTAACACCTGGCATTTGGGATAGAAAGCAAGCTATATTATATTCAAACTTAAGTAAGGGAGTTGAAAATGAGTTCATTGGTCATACAAGAACTTCACCACTTCCTAACCCTAAATACTATAAATTAACTGGCTTCAATCGTGAGTTTTGGATAGACATGTTCTCCACTCATGACCATAACTGCCCAGTGTTCTTACCTCCAGACCATAAGACTGTCTCTACATTGAAGCACAACTCTTAAACTCTACCATCGCAGTATTGTAAATGACCACATGGGCTTCACCCTTGCCGCTAGCGGCTTATTTTTATCATGAATGGTCTCACTGCTGACAAAAATAAATGACCTCATTATTTTTCTCATTCATGACCTCAGAACTTAAGCTTTCTTATGAATGAAGTCTTAGTCTGAATAGAAAAGTTAAACTTTTCAGCAAAGCAAGGTTGACACGACTTACATAAGTCGAATGCAATCTCTTGACCGTCATAAAGTGCTTTGTAAAGTTTCATTAAACTGAACTCAGAGTCTTTGTCATATGTTCCTTGCGGAACCATTATACCTTTATCTTCATCATAGAAACACTGAACAGAGTCAGGAAACATTTCATTAGCGGTTAAAGCAATAACATCTTGCTT